ATATAATTTGTTTTCCTATTCAATTCTTTTGTCTCCCAAAATGTATAATAAACATGCTTTTAGTCCTGGTGTCCTCTACAGTGGACATGTATAAAATGATGTCCTGTTTCATAACAGGAAGTCATATTTTGATTTGAAACCCCATAACATTTTCCTGAGATGTTGATTTATGACAAACAATTTGAAAATTAATCAGATTTAAATTATAATTACAAAATATTATCATATTTCCATAAGGATGTACAGTTAATGTCAGCCATTTTTAAAAACCAAGGAGAGGGAGTGGTCTCGGTGAAACATCCAATCGTTTGGTATCTCTGGAAAGCCCTGAATGTGCTCCGTACAGGACATCCAGACTTAAAACTGTGACGTGTGAGGTCTCAGAGAAAAGAGGCAAAAACTCCATAGCTGGGTCTCAGGAGGATATAGTTGACTCTCTGAATGTATTCAAGTAGGGTTTTGAACAATGTGTTTGAAACCAGTATTTGACATGTGACAACTAGCCCCATTCTCCTCATATAACAACAAAAACAACAACAAAAGAGAAAACCAAATTGAAACTAAACTTCAAATAGTGGAGGAAAAGCTTTAATTTTGTTTGAAGGCTGTTGAAATGATGTTTTTCAGTGCAATAAAGTGATGCTCCTAATGGGAGGTATAGTAGTGCCATGGTACATTTTAGTACTTGTTAGTGTTAAACATGATATTAACATGTCCAGTGAGTCATGCAGTACGTTGGTATTCATTTGTTAGTTTGTTGACCATCGCTGACCAAGGTTTTTGCATTGTATTTCAAGGCACTTCAAAGAATACCTTGGTATTATATTCCCAAAACTAATAATACCAGAGCATTTTAACACCTCTTTTAGTGTTGAAACCAAGAATTACGGGAACTTCAAGCAATTATGTGATGCTTTTAAGAAGTATTTTCACCAACCTTATAGTGACAATGAGAGGAGCTTTGGTAAAATTATACAGAACTTCTTTTTAGTTCACTAGATTCGGGCCCTGAGTCATTAATGTTTCACAGTGACATGGCGTCATGAATATCTACAACATGAAACAGATGTTCTGCTTCCCTTTTCAGCTGACATTACAACACTTATTTTTCATCCTTCCTCTCAAACCACCTGTCATATAGAGATGATTAAATGTCCAGTTGATCTCCAATGGATAAAAACAAGTCCCTTCCTTTATTTTTAGTTTCCTGGTGTACTCAGAAATATGTCACAATATGGATGTAAAATGATTGCTAATGACATTGCATGTCAACTTTAATGTGCTCAAAGAGTTATTTGACATATATTTTGCAGTTGACAGCTGGGATTCACCAGATAATATCCTGTTTGGTGAAAAATGTTGTTTTTACCTTCATACTATTCATACCATCTGACTGAACATTTAGCACAATAAAGTCCATTTTAGACTTAATGGTAATGTGAATTAAGAGAGAAAAGAAAAGAAAATAATGTCACGATGCAAAGAAATTGTAAAGGTACCCAATAGTTTTCCTTTTCTTTATAAAAACAACATATAATTTCTTATTTTGAATATGACCTATATTAAATCTCACAAAACCTGTCAAAAACATGCCGAAGTCATGTTATTATGTGATTTTCATATTCATTACCATAATAATATCATCAGTATTTATTGTATGCTACTATTTAAAGGGGTCATATGATGCGATTTCAAGTTTTCCTTTCTCTTTGGAGTGTTACAAGCTCTTGGTGCATAAAGAAGATCTGTAAAGTTGCAAAGACTAAAGTCTCAAATCCAAAGAGATATTCTTTATAAAAGTTAAGAGTCAACCACGCCTACCTAAAACGGCTCGTTCTAACACCCCCCCACATATCTACGTCACTATGTGGAAATATTAGCATAATGCCGCCCAAATGTGCACGCAAAGAAAGAAGGCGTGGTTTCAGGAACAGCAGTCGTGTTGATGCAGCATGACAGGGAGACGCTGTGTTTCAGTGCGAAAAGCAAAAGCGCTTTATTTGGCCTTCCGGGAATTCTGACTTTGCTATGACAATCTGGCGCTTCTGAATCAGCGACTGTAAGTATGTTTTGTTATTAGTTTAAGTATTTGCTATTGACTGTTCAAATGCGGAGTTTTGTGCAGCGCAGAGAAACGCATCGTGTGTGTGTGTGAGGGGAACAGGGTCACATCACAGGAGAGTGAACTGTCTGTCAGAAATCACAGCACGTCAGCTGTCTTAACCGCGGCTTGTGTACTGCATCATCACTGTGTCTGTCACGCAACTCTGTTGCCCTTTCGGGCTTGAACTGATGGTAAAACTAACGACATTATTAACTGTCTTGATATTTACTTTGAAAGCTGAAGCTCGCGATTATGGTAAGGGGCGTTACATTTCCGACGAGTGCTTGCGGTGTTCGGCCAATCACAATGCACTGGGTCAGCTGGCCAATCAGAGCAGACTGCGCTTCTCAAAGGAGGGGGCTTTGTTGAAAATGAAGTGTTTGAGAGTGGCGGGGCATAGAGGACCTACAATAATGTACAGTATTTGAAAAATAATGTGTTTTTTGAACATTAAAGCATGTCAACATATTCTGTTAAACCAAATACACAAAATAATTATCTTAAAAATAGCATCATATGACCCCTTTAATGCTGCAGTCCGTAAGTTTTGCCTCTTTGTCGCCATCTCTGTTTGAAAACCTGAAATTGCTGCTGTGTGCGGAATTATCTTCCTTGCGTGGGTTGTGTGGCGGCGCAGATGAATCGAATGTTTTGAAGAGTATTTGTGGCAGACAGTCACCGCACTGGTGTGGATATTGTACTTTTGTCACAGTGTTGGTTGTGGTGCCCTGGACTGGCCACTTGAGGGCGCTCTGTCTGTTTAGCTTTAATATCCATTATGCTGCATGTTACATAGTCTAAAGTTTATAATATTTTAGATGATAATTTTATGTATTTTGTCTGAAAAAGACACTTAAGGAATGTGCAGTCAGATCACATGTAGGACTTTTTTTTTTAATCTCTGAAGATAATTGCTTACATTTATTATCTTGTAACTAAGGATTATATTTACTCTGTATCCCCTCCTCTTAGCACGTTAGACAGTTAATTTGAGAGCAGTTTGGCCTGTGTTTCATAAACAGACATATAAGAGGATTAGAGTGGATCAGCACTAATGCATGTCACCGCTAGGAGGCAGCGTTGGCCAGGAAGATATTTTGAATAGCATATGGAGGACGCCATCTGCAGATTGTGTACTACAATGAATACATGACAGTGGCATTTTAATAATTGTTACAAAACATTAGGCAACGGATGTGCTTTAGTCTTGAGCCCATTTCTAGAATTACATCATTCATAATCCATCCATCTTTTGGATTAATTTTAGTCAAGGATTAGTTGTCCCACATACAGCGGCTTGCACATAGCATCAACACATATGTTGGATAAAAGGCACTTTAATAATACAGATGTTTAATAGTCATAATAAAATGTTGTTTTGACAGGTAAAGGCACCTTTAAAAGCGAAAGGTTCCAGGGTTTGATGGCTCTGTACCATGAAAGACGCTAAAAACTCAGGATGCAGGCTACAATGAAACAAACACCCTCAAAACTTTGATATCAAACACAGTAATATTTTATATAAATAAATATATAAATTATAAATAATTGCATTTTAGGGTATTTTATTTTATCTATTTATTTTTTGATTAACAAAATAGTCCTTAGTTAAGTATTGCTAAGGAAAACAAGCAGATGTACTACTAATAATTATTTAATAAATAATATTACCTCATTTAATTTTAGTATGCCTATAATGAACAAGCAAACAAATTATTAATTTGTAAAAAAAAATTTTTTTAATTTTTTTAATTATTACTAAAATATTCTTTAATTCTCTTTAAAACTTCTCTTTATAATTTTTTTTATAAAAATTAAAAAAAATGAGGTATTATACATATCTTACAGTATTTATACAGTTATTATCAGTACTAGGCTTATTAATACAATGTGATAATTTTTTCCTTCTCTAATCCGTTTTTCTGACATTAGAGATTTTATTCATTTCAATGAGATTATAATTATATAAATGAATTAAATACATATATCATTATATACCACGCACATGTCATAAACTTAATTAAAAATGTAGGCTAATTGTAGTTTGCATAAAGAAAATTATGCCAGGACCATTAAGATTTTTTCATTGTGAAATTTTCATGTCAATTACAGCATTATATATATGACCTTCTGTTAAGATAATATACAAAAATAATAAACAATTACACACACATTAAATTGTATTTGTATATATAAAGAGAGAAAGAATTAGGAGGTTTCTGGTGAATTTAGAAAGAAAACTCAAGTGACCCCAGCATGTTCCTGACACATTAATTAATAATTCAATTAAGACCAAAATTAAACTACAAAATGCTTTTCCATATATGTTTGAGACCCTAACCATCACCCATTACACATCTCACCTTAGTTCACATAATGCACATGTGAGGCAGCAGCAAGGGGTTAAAATCCCTGAACTCTCTTCCCTGGACACAGTCACAGCATCTGGCCTGTCCAATTATTAAATCCTGTCCTCATCTCTGCTAGGACAGACGGACAGCCAGACGAGCCATTCGCAGTCTACAGCTGCCCCACAGCCATCCAATAGCAGTTCAGAAAAGTAGGAGGGACATTACTGGATCACATAGCTTGGGTTTGTAGCATTCTTGTAGCTCTTCTCGTTTTGCCTTTGAATAAAATGCTATGAAAGGAAACCAGAAAACAGCTGAGAAGGAAGAAACGAGATGTGATTTTGTACGGAGGGAGAAAATGTGGTGAAAGTAGGGGGGAAAACCTTTCAATTTACAGCCTCTCAGCTGCTCTGTTCTAGCTGAGGAACGGAAGAGGAGGGGTGAAAGGAGAAATTCCCTCTCCTTTTTTCCATCGGCTGCCTGGAAAACCTTGGAAGGACATCAGCCGTGGCCACATCTCTCCATGGATAGGTCAGTATCTCTCATATCAGCAGCCTTTGACAAGAGACAAACAGTTTCTCATCAGACTTCAGATTATTTACACTCATTTTACACTTATTAAATGCTCGGTACAGTTCAGTTCATGCGGGAAAACAGATTTATAACTGATAATGCACAGGAGCATGTTATTTTGGTGTCTATGTTGGCATGTCTATCTTTGTCTTGTGATGGCCTGTGATTGGTCGAAGAGGCAGGTTTAAGAGAGCCCGAAGCATTCTGATTGGACGAGGGACTAACATGCTCTTCATTAAGCCTGCAGACTGTTTGTGAAACACACAGTGAGTGTGTTCACCCTAAATGATTATGTAAGAAGAATTAACACCCCTCAAATACACAGATTACTGGCTGCAGATATTTCTGTCTCCTGTGTTTGAATGTCCTTTGACAGGGAAAAAGATCAGTAAGGAAGACAAGGACCTGTAGGAGTTTTGACTGCTGTTGTCGACTATTTCAGTGCGTATAAACAAACAAAATCACATTTACAGTACTGCACTTGCAATGGAAGCCTACAGAGCAAGTCACTGCACCAGGATCGATCTAAAACAAACCGCTTTGAAAGTACAGCCAAAAGACATAAACATTAAATGTGTTAGCATATTAAAATAAAATCATGAGAATTGCTTGCCTGTGCAAAGTTATATCTTGTATAAGACTCCAAAGTTATATATGACTCCTGTAATGACAATGAAAAGAGGACAATTTGTATAAAATGTACAAGGATATGGGGGAAGTTGGGGCCTAATGGTTAGAGAGTCAGACTCATGACCCAAAGGTTGTGGGTTCGAGTCTCGTACCGGCAGGGATTGTAGGTGGGGGGAGTGAATGCGCTCTCTCCCTCCTTCAATACCACGACTGAGGTGCCCTTGAGCAAGGCACCGAATCCCCAACTGCTCCCCGGGTGCCGCAGCATAAATGGCTGCCCACTGCTCCGGGTGTGTGTTCACGGTGTGTGTGTGTGTTCACTGCTGTGTGTGTGCACTTTGGATGGGTTAAATGCAGAGCACTAATTCCTAGTATGGGTCACCATACTTAGCCACATGTCACGTCAGGATAGAAAGTGATGTGGCATCCGAAAAATAGGCAGTGTTTACATAAAGCAAACTTCATCCAGGAATTGATGCATAATAGATTCTTTAGATTTTACAACTCAAATAACACACATTTTGCATGGAAGAATTATTGAAAGTGCTTTAAAGAAAATGGTAGCTGCACATTTCTGCTTTTAAACACTCTCTATAGTTTTGTAGATGCATTACTGGAAAGACAGTTTTTGCTTGTTTTTACATACTGAGGGATGAACTGAAATGATTGTTTGTGGTCAGTGCATCAAGTTTAAGTCCTAAAATGACTAAAACTGAAATAAATATTAAAGCTGAATAGAATACGTATATATATATATATATATATATATATATATATATATATATCTGAGCAAAGGGTCTGAATACTTAGGACCATCTGATATTTCAGGTTTTCTTTTTTAATAAATCTGCAAAAATGTCAACAATTCTGTGTTTTTCTGTCAATATGGGGTGCTATGTGTACATTAATGAGGAAAAAAATTAACTTAAATGATTTTAGCAAATGGCTGCAATATAACAAAGAGTGAAAAATTTAAGGGGGTCTGAATACTTTCCGTACCCACTGTATATATATATATATAAAACTTGAGATTAACATTTAAACTGAAAATATAGAATAAAAGCTAATTCAAAATATTCATAAAAACTGTATAAATAATACTAAAATGACATTGGTTTTAGCTGGTTGCTATGGTATTTATGGGTAGTTGCTACTGGTTAAAATGATAAGAGTCCAAGACTGATATTCTGGTCTATGTATCCAGTCTTTCCTTCAATTTGAGTCTGTGGGATTTATTTGGCCATCAAAAAATTCCGGAAAAACGGATCACTGAGTGAAGTAACAACATGAGTTACACACTTCGTTAGAATTCTTAGTGTACAGGGTTTGTTCCAAACCTTGTATTTAGTTTGAGCAATAGTACTGCCAGCATAACTGATATTTACCTGATCATCTAAAATCTGCAAGTGGGTGAATATATCAGAAAACAGAGTCAGCGTGTCAGCCGCAGGTGGCCTGTTGGTTGAAAGGGAGAGAATGAGAGAGAGAAACAGCGAGGGCAAGCAAGAACACATCTGTGTGCATCTCTTACGAAACGTACCTCTTTCAACGTGAGCTGTTTCTGGGTACTTGCTTTCCTAGGTACAGTATCAGACTGGTGCTGTCTCTCTTTCTCTCTCTCTGTGCCACTCTTGTACCCACATCCTGCCACGACACCCACTGCTGCCCGGCTGCTGCAGGGAGGGAGAATACTACATAACGGCAACAAAAATGCGCACTCTCTGTCACACACACACACACACACACACACACACACACACACACACACACACACACACACTTACTTTCAGGAGAACTATAGGTGAATCTCATGTAAATATATCCAATTTAAATTTCACTTCAAATTAAAAACAGTAAAACTATACTATACTATACTAGGACCTTTAAAATGACAATTCTGTCATAATTTACTTGCCTTAATGTATTTCCAAACCTGTATGATTTTCCTTCTTCTGCAGAACACAAAAGAAGATATTTTGGGTGAATTATCCCTTTAAGATCTTTTTCATTGTGACAGTTTCATCATGATAATTATGTACATTTTCATCCCAATTTTTCTTTATTCTGATTTTTAAAAAATGCCAATTATTCTCAAAGGTAAGTCTCATTAGTATGAAATCAGCTAAATTAAAGGCAGAACAACAAATACCATCATGTATAAATATTTTTCAAGTAATTTATTTCTTTTCTTTTTACATTACAGTAGGGAGAGTGAGATTTTTTGCATGACATGAAATTTGAGAAGAAAATGTGTTTAGTTCAAATAATATCAAAATGGTATTAAAAAGACGTTTGGTTTTGGGGTGCAATATTACCCTAATATAATGCACATTCAGACATACACACTTCTATACATACTGTACACATACAGTACTGTTCTAAAGTTTAGGTCAATAAGATTGTATTAATGTTTTTTAAATAAGTCTCTTATGCTCACAAAAGCTGCATTTATTTGTTTGAAAATACAGTAAAAACAGTAATATTGTGAAATATTATTACAATTTAAAAGAACTGTGTTCTATCAGAATATATTTTTAAATGTAATTTATTCCTGTGATGCAAAGCTGAATTTTCAGCATCATTACTTCAGACTTCAGAGTCACATGATCCTTCAGAAATCATTCTGATATGCTGATCTACTGCTCAAGAAATAGTTCTGATTATTATCAATATTGAAAACAGTTGCGCTGGATTCTTTGAAGAATACAAAGTTCATTAGAATTGCATTTATTTGAAATAGAAATATTTTGTAACATTGTGTCTTTACTGTCACTTTTTGATCATTTTGATGCATCCTTGTTAAATAAAAGTATTAATTCCTATCATAAAAAAATCAACATTTTGAAAGGTGGTGTATTTGCAGAATAAAACTTGCACTATGTACAGAGCAACACAACAAACTTTTTGTTTGACTGTACATGATCCATGCCTTCAAAGGCTGTGCATCTTTGTTTTAAAAGTCTTGTATATTTGTGTTGATCAAGCTAAATATTTATCAAAATGGTCATGTCTGGATGGAGGAATTTTATATTTATTATATATAGTATATTCATTTACTGAATTTTATGTGGTTCCAAGCCCGTATGAGACGTAGATGTATTATAATAAATAATATTCACACTGCTTTTGTCCATACAACAAAAGATTGGATGAAAAGCACTATAAAAGTCCATATGACTCGTGCACAATATTCTGAGTCTGCAGAGGTCATACAATATCTTTGTGTGAGGAACAGTCAAATTTTCAGCAAATAGCAAAGTTATCATGTGGCTTCAAAAGAATTACATAGTATGACTTAAAGAAAGTCATACGGATTTGGAATGATATGAAGGTGAGTGATAACTGAATTCTCGTGTTTTTTTTTTTTTAACATGCTCCTTTAACTGCACGAGCAGTTCTTTGTGAATGGAGACAGGCTGTGGTTTAGGAGATTTCTACATTCTCATTCACATCCACCGAGATCTCAAGAGCAAATTCTCCTATTCTCTATTTTAAGCGTCGAACCTCGTTCCTGCCTCCAGCCCCCACATCCACAAACGCATGTATACACGGATCCTAACGGTTGTAATGTGGAAGGAAGCTTGAGGTTTGCCAACAGTATCTTAAAAGCTCACACATTTTCGGTGTCCAACAGGGTTTGTACTTGGCAAGAGAAAAATAAAAAATAAAAGACAGTAAGTTCCCCTCAGACATGCATTCATATAAACTCCTACCCCTAATTGAATCGCGATTTGTTTAGCATCTCAACCGATTTGAATCGTCACATTTAAATCGATTTTCAACCGGCTCACGGTTAATCGTTACATCCCTACTTACTTTATTACCATGTTTACATTTTGTTATTATACACTTTTCAATAGACCCCTTAGCTGCCTATTTCGGTAGGTTAGTAGTCAGCATATTTGCTCACTTTGTTTAAAAATGAAGCCAAATTGTATCTAACATCAAATGTTCATTCACAGGATTCTTACAGGAGTTCAGGAGCATCATGGCCGAGGTCTGCAGGAGGACTGAATCCCAGTAGGGTTGCCTTCAAAGCGCACCCGGCTCGCCTCCGCGACGCAGAACCATGTCTCTGACCTCCACCCAAACCCTGGCCCCGTTCCCGGCCCCCACTCTCTCCCTCACCACCTTCACTCCCGTTCTCACAAGTTCAGCAGAGCCCAGAACTGAGCCGGAGAACGTAACGTCCAGGACCACCTTCCACTCTGTCACGTCGTCCACCAACGAGACCGGCCTGAACTCCACACAGCTGCCCATCGCTTCAGTGAAGGGTGCCGGGATGGGGATGGTGCTCGTGCCCTTTGGCATCATCACAGTCATTGGGCTGGCTGTTTTCGTGGTACACCCCAAAATGCTGTCATTGTTACTCAACACAAACACGTAGGGCTGGACGATATGGCCAAAATTTATATCACGATATATTTCTTAATTTCGGTCGATACGATATAATTTCGATATCGATATGAACACTATTAAAAAAGCTGCAATTTTATTGATCTTTTGAAAAGTTTTTCTAAACGTTTAATATAAGTAGCTATATTTCAAATTACACTTTCTCTTTTCTGACAAAATTATTGAGTCATGATGTTGAAATTGACTTAAAGTCACGCATATTTTGAGTTACATTTACATTTTTCTTCTCCTCGCCAGCTTCTGTACATCAGAAAAAAGAAAAGGTAAGAAATTTCACGTTTCTGTATCACTCCACTACAGTCTAAAAAAATCAAAGGTTCCTCCGTGAATATTTAATGCAAGACCGAAATCCCTTTTTGGGTCTAATTGGAACCCTCTGATGTTTCCCACATAGAAGAGTGTCCTTAATGAAGCTGTGATGGTTTTCTTCTACAGGCTGGAGAAACTGAGACACCAGCTGATGCCCATGTATAACTTTGATCCAGCTGAAGAACAGGATGATCTAGAGCAGGAACTCTTGGACCACGGACGAGACGGAAGCCCAGCTGGACCAAACTCCAAAGTAAGAGAACACCACCACACGGGTCAAAGGCAAAGACATACAAACAAACAAAAATGTTAGGGCATACATTGCTGATTCTAAACTAAAATGGTTATTGTTTTTGTTGATCGATAGATTGATCGATTTTGTGGGACCTGAAGGATTTTTCAGTAGAACAGCGAGCAGTTTAACTGTTTTCTAACTGTTGTAACTTTTATGTGAAATATCTTATTCAGGTCAGTATTTAAAAAAATGACATGCATTTTGTATGATGATCCCTCTTATTCTGGTCAAATAATTAACATTTTGCAGATACCGCAAAGTATATGTAAAACTTTGACCACAACTCTATAATATATCATTCGAATAAAATAAAACTTTTATGCAATTTATTACAAAACTAAGACAGCATGGTGAGTCTCTCAAAATAATCTATGCCATACATTTTGTAATATTCTTTCTTAATTTCGATTTCTGCCATTCTCATTTCTCTTAAGTTCTGACACCAGGCTGTGTGCTTTGTTATTTGTGGTAAAGTATTCATCACTGTAAATGTGTCATTACCACATATTCATTTAATATCACTAATACTCAGAGGCGGACAGTAACTAAGTACATTTACTTGAGTATTGTACTTAAGTACACTTTTTGAGTGTCTGTACTTTACCTGAGTATTATTTTTTCTGGGAACTCATGACTTTAACTTCACTACATTTGAAAGACAAATATTGTACTTTTCACTCCACTACATTTCTATCAAGATCCTCGAAGTAGAAAGTCGTTACTATGTAGCAGCTTTGTAAGTCAGTGGGTGATTTTTTTCTTCTCTAAAACGTGACTTTCTTTTTTTCAGACAGTTTATCAGTAATCACTCTTGTAGGGCTACATGAAGTGATTTCCCAGCATTTTTTGAGCACTGACCAGTTCCAAACGTGATATTTATTTACAGCAATTCAATAATAAGAAGTTAATATTGTGGTATATATTAGACACAATACATCATCCACATTTAAACTCTCCTCCATTTGTGTTCTGGCACTAGTAGCCTCATTCGTCTCATTCTCATATGGTCAACATACCAGAATTCATTTTATTTCGCTAATTCATATTTGTGCAATGTTTCATTGTAGATTTGTATTATTTATATTCTATAACCGTCAATATCCTGTATTGTTTACTTACTTTCACTCTCTCTTTCCCGCCACAGACACTGACCACAAGACAGGGAACAATGCAGAAACCCAGTCGACTTGTTTTCACTGACGTGGCTGATGCCATTAATGCATGACGACACTCACATGCTGCACAGGAAGAAGGGGACACAGAAAACTGGACACTGGGATTCAGGAATATTTGCATTAACTTTTGGTACGATGTAGTACACTGTAAAAAAAATCTAATGTAAAACATTGGGTTAATTGCTGCTTTTGTTGTTATTCATTTCTTAAGCCAAAGTTACAGCCCGAAGTGTTAAAGGAATATTTCACTCCAAAATGAAAAATAGGCTGAAACTTGACTCACCCTCAGGCCATCCAAGATGTAGAGTTTGTTTTTTCATGGGAACAGATTTGGAGTAATTTAAAATTTCATCACTTGCTCACCAATGGATCTTCTGCAGTGAATGGGTGCCGTCAGAATGAGAGTCCAAACAGCTGATAAAATCATCACAATAAACAAATCCATCAAGGCCTTTTAACTTTAAACCGTCACTTTTAGCCAAAATATGAGTCCATAATCCATAATAACACTTCATCCAGTGAAAAAGTCCATCTCCTATCCCCACTGACGTATTTGTTTACAACTGTTTTGGCTTGTAAATGGTGCTTGGTCTATGCATATTTCTCCCCTGATTCAGACGAGATTAGTTTTTCACCGGAGAAAGCAATATTATGGATAGAGGACTCATATTTTAAATTACTTGCTGATTACTGTGATGTTTTTATCAGCTGTTTGGACTCTTATTCTCCATTCCATTCACCTCCTATTCCTTTAAGATCATTGCATTTTTTTGACCACTTTGAATTTAATTATGACAAAGAACATAAACCCAGAATCAAATTAACAAATAACCAATGATGAGAATATTTTTTACAGTGTACAGTGACAAATAAGACATTACACATTTTAAGGACACTACTTCACAAGTCAGCTGGATCTGTCCAACGGTTATAACAATTATTTTCATCTCTATTATAAGACTCAAGAGCCTCATTCATGCAGCATGAGCAGAACAAATGTGCACATTGTGACAATGTACAAAAAAATTATTTTAGAAACGCTGAATGAGGCTCACCGTGTTTCTGAATGACTGATAAAATAATGTTTATTTTTAAGAAGAGACTCCAAATGCAACTTTAAACCCCTTTTGTTTGTGAGAAATCTTTATTAGTTTGGTGAATGAGAGAATTACGTGATTTATTATTTATACACAGCTGAAGAGTTGTCTGTGAACTGATGTGCTTACTAAAAGGAAGTACATGAACTTACCCTGAGAATAAAATTTTTTGCTTTAAAGTTACATTTGTTTCATTTAAACTGTGATGACGTGTGTCAGACATGACATCGGTCAGCCATTTCAGACAGTATTATAAAGATCTTCCAAGTGACATGAACTCACTTTTTCCGATCATTGAACAGTGAAACACAAAAGTTCTGTCACAGAGCCTGTGAATCTACATGAATGATGATTTTTATTTTCCTGTGTGTGTGTGTGTGTGTGTGTGCGTGCATGTCTCTCTGTGTGGTTGTGTAGATGAAATAGCAAAATGTAATAATTCTCTGTGCACCACAAACCAGCGGCGGACCATTTTAAAGACATTTTTAACTTTTATGACAATGAAGGACATAATAAAAAGGATATTTACACTATGTGCAGGTGTGTTCTTGAAAACTAGGGAATCGTTTTGGATAAATGCAATAAAGACAATAACTGATGGATCATGTAAACGTGTCTCAAACAGGAACTTTATTCACTGACATACAGCTGCATAAAAAGCATTACTGGCCTTTGAAAGATATAAAAAAGATGTATGTTACCTGAGGCACATTGTCAAATGTTTTAATACGTAAACGACTTAGCTGACACTATATACCATGATGTGTTTGAACATTGCTCGATTGAGTTCACATCAAAAACTTCCTGATCAGAAAAAGGATCTTTTTTGAACAATATTTTGGTACCATTATACCTGTTTTTAAGTGCATCTACTTTATCTGAACTGTAATATTTAACACAACACAACTGTATTGACAATAGGAGAAGCTTTAAACATCAGTCATGTTGTAAACATCATCCGCATACCAGCGCAATGACAATTCATAGCAGTAAAAATTAGACTGGATGATTAAAAAAAAAAAATATATATATATATACTAATTATGAAAATATAGAGCCAAAAATGTTATCCTGTTCCAGAGACTGGCCATTGACAATATATGTGACCCTGGAGCACAAAACCAGTCTTAAGTCGCTGGGGTATATTTGTAGCAATAGCCAAAAATACAACCTGGTCTCGTAGCAAAAATACATTGTATGGGTCCAAATGATTGATTTTTCTTTTATGCCAAAAATCATTAGGATATTAAGTAAAGATCATGTTCCATGAAGATATTTTGTAAATTTCCTACTGTAAATATATTCAAACTTAACTTTTTATTAGTAACATGCATTGCTAAGAACTTCATTTGGACAACTTTAAAAGGTGATTTTCTCAATATTTAGATTTTTTTTGCACCCTCAGATTCCAGATTCATCAATGGAAAGCTTATCTATTCAGCTTTCAGACGATGTATAAATCTCAATTTTAAAAAACGGACTGGTTTTGTGGTCCAGGGTCACATATGCATTTAAAAACAAATGACAAATCATCCATTGTCTAGAACGAGCAAACAAAATCATTGAGGTACTGAATTTCACCATCATCACGTTGTGAATTATAATGATTGTTGTTTTACATCATTAATAAAGTCATTATTCTCATTTGGTGTAAACAGACACATTTGAATCTATTCTTTCCATTGTAAACATTAAAATAAAACAAGAAAAAGAACATTATACATTAAAATCAATCATTTAAAAAGTTGCAACATTTGATTGAGGAGTACATTTCAAGCTTTGGCAATATAATGTTTCCAGAATCCTGAGAAGATTAAATAAACCTAATATAACCCAGGCATCATCCATACACGATGATCCATATTACAGTTTCTAAATGTTATTATCTTTGGATTTTTTTATTTCTTTGTAATCCTAACATCTGGAACATTAAGTCTGGCCATCAAATTATGCACAATAAAAGTGTTTAAGTTCAAATTTTATTTAAAGGAATAGTTTACCCAAAAATGAAAATTACCTGAACATTTACACACCTTCAGGACATCCAAGATGTAGATGGGTTTGTTTCTTCATCAGAACAGATTTGGAGAAATGTAGCATTATATCACTTGCTAACAAGTGGATCTTCTGCAGTGAATGGGTGCCGTCAGAATGAGAGTCCAAACAGCTGATAAAAACATCACAATAATCCACAAGTAATCCACACCACTCCAGTCCATCAGTTAACATCTTGTGAAGCCAAAAGCTGCATGCTTGTAAGAAGCAAATCCATAATTGAGGCATTTTAACTTCACCGTTTACAAGCATAAAAAAACTGTCCAAAACAGATCTAAACAAATATGTTGTTGTATTTTGATGCAAGAAGACAACAGGAGATGGACTTTTTCCACTGGAGGAAACGTTATTGTGGATTATGGACTCATCTTTTTGCCAGAAGCGACAGTTTAAAGCTAAAACATCTTAATGATGGATTTGTTTCTTACAAACAAGCAGCTTTTCACTTCACAAGATGTTAACTGATGGACTGGAGTGGTGTGGATTACTTGTGGATTATTGTGATGTTTGGACTCTTCTGATGAAGAAACAAACTCATCTACATCTGGGAAGACCTGAGGATGAGTACATTTTTGGGTAAACCGTTCCATTAAGAATCCACATAATAAAGAGAAGATATTATTTTCAGTTCTTAAAATGGCAGTGTAACTTGCAGACAGGTGTTCACCATAAAGACTTGTGGTGGAAGTATACAGATTTTAGGGTTACTTTAGACAAATGTAGTCTGATCTTGCCAAGGGCACAAAGCGAGTCCTCAATTTTGGGCGCAATTTGAGCACTGGCACATATTCACTCTTTACAGTGTACATGGAGGCATTGAGATTTACCCCTGACGTAGTATCAAAGTCAACACTGAGGTAGTTTTAGTCACTCTCCTGCGATGGTAGCTCAGCGGGCAGAGTCTGAATGGGGGGCTCCTCTGTTGACTCCATCCCTTGAACCGCAGGATGAGGCTGGGTGGAGAGGAAAGAGAACACATGAGGAATGTGTGTGCATGTAGATGTGCGTGCATGACCTGAGAATCATGACAGTTGGAACAGGAAACCAAGAAATGTAAGGACCTGTGCTGGATTTCCCTTAAACACACTGAGTCATTTATTTCGGTACTAACCTGAGAACTGTATGAGTAACGGGGAGTTTTGCACGGTTTCTGAACACATTGCCCGTTTCAGATCTGCAACTCTTGACAGTCACTGATTGACATGCTTATCAGGTTTAGTTTTTAACGGAATGAGACGATTCTCATGTAGAAATATTCATTTTGTTCATTATGGGTTGCAAACAACTAATCTATATGATCGATAATGAATAATCGACTCGACTAATCGGGTTTCATTATTAAGTCGAGTCAGTTTAAATGAGTGAAAAACATTTTGATGAAAACTGTTGTATATTTATAAAGTGAGCACTAATTGTAAGGGCTTAAGTTTTTTTTTCTACTTTTATTTAGCAAGGATGCATTCAATTGATCAACAGTGACAGCTAAGACATTTATAATGTTACAAAAGGTGTCTACTTCAAATAAATGCTGTTCTTTTAAACTTTCTATTCATCAAAGAGTCCTGACATTTTTTAATCACAGTTTCCACAAAAATATGAAGCATCACAACCGGTTTCAACATTGATAATAATAACAGATCAGCATATTAGAATGATTTCTGAAAAACCATGTGACACTGAAGACTGGAGTAATGATGCTGGAAATTCAGCTTTGCATCACAGGAATAAATTAAATTTTAAAATATATTACAATAGAAAACAGTTTTTTAAATCATAATAATATTTCACAATATTGCTGTTTTTACTGGATTTTGATTAAATAATTACAGCCATGGTGAGCATTTCTTTTAAAAAAAACAAATCTCACTGACCCAAACATTTGAAAAACCAAATAGAATATATTTATTAATTTAAAAAAAATTGTAAACATATTTTGACACTGGAAATGATAAAAGTGTATGTTGGAAATTATATGGATTTATTAAAATGTTATAAGTTTTTCTTTTACCTGCTGTTCTTCCTGATGAACGGTCTTCTGAGGCTATAAATTAAAGAGACAAAGAATGTGAGAGGAAAAAGAAGACATTTCTACCTTTTAAAATGGCTATGGCTCAGAAACATCTTGTTTTGATTTCCCTCTCTCCAGCTCAACACAAAAACAGCAAAGCAAGACAAATTAAGACTTCTTTTTGGCATAATATGCACTTAACAATAAAGCCACGTATATCCAATCAAGTACATAGGGTAATGTTTGATTCCATATTTAGGGTTATAAAATAGAAAAGGGGATTTTGTTTACTCTTTTGAAAGAGTAATGAACAATGAAGACATAATGTACTAGACCAGACAAATTACAAATGCTAAGCTGCAGAAACCACTCATTTATTACAATTTTCAGGTCATATATGTTTTAATATATTTAAATATATTTTTATTGCATGCAATCTCTTTTATATTGGAGTTCATCAGATGCTCATTTAACCATGCGGCAGAGATTAAAGGAAAGTGTGTGTGATTCTCACCCATTTTCTTGGTCTACCTCGAGGTCTACGTTCTCTAGGTGGCTCTACCTACATCCAACAACAGATGAAGGAATGAGAGAGCATGTTATATATCTGAACAAGAATCATTCAGCTTAAGTTTAAGTGCTCTCCAGTAAGTTCTCTTACTTTGGCTGTGACCCGCTGGCCTTTATTTTTACTGCCTCTCGGCCTTCCTCTCGGCCTCCTGGGAGCAGAGGTTTCAACAGGCTCCTGAGGGATTCAGTTCACTTGGTTTTATTTTAATTTATATCAGCTTTTCTAAAAAAATCTTATCTATCTATCCATCCATCTATCTATCTATATCTATCTATCCATCCATCTATATCTATCCATCCATCCATCTACAGCCATCTATCCATCCATCCATCTATATATCTTTCCATCCATCCATATATATCTATCCATCCATCCATCTATATATCTATCCATCCATCCATCTATATATCTATCCATCCATCCATATATATCTATCCATCCATCTATCCATCCATCCATATCTATCTATCCATCCATCTATCCATACATACATATCTATCCATCCATCCATCTATATCTATCCATCCATCTATCATCCATCCATCCATCTATATCTATCCATCCATCTATCTACAGTGGGGCAAAAAAGTATTTAGTCAGCCACCAATTGTGCAAGTTCTCCCACTTAAAAAGATGAGAGAGGCCTGTAATTTTCATCATAGGTATACATTTAGAAGAAAATTGGAGAGTAAAAACAGAAGTTTGAATATTTTATTCATAATAAAATCTATGTGCACCTGTATATCTATGTTCCACAAATGAAAGCATACATATTATGTCAATTAAACCCCAAATTCAGAATGATACAAAAAAGCATACATAATCTTATAAAACACAGTATTTTTACGTATATTACATTCCATCTACCTAATATATTTATATTTTAGCATATAGAAGATTGAGCAGTATGAAACGTCTGGTAAAAGATGTTATGTGTTATGATATGAGTTGTTCTGTCATCAGGTCATCTCCATGACCTTCTTGATCCAATCCACATAAAAAGACACACGGATGAAGATGTTTGGTTGGCCGGCGTGTCCACAGCGGCGCATTGGTATGATCACTCCTTCTAGGACCCAACAGTCGCTGTTCTGACAGGCCAGAGGGCCGCCGTAGTCTCTCTGGAAGAGCGAAAAAGAAGAACGTTACAGCGCACCTGCATCGAGCACGTCTTACTCATTTCACAATCCTCACTTACATCTATTGCAAAAGCAGAACTTAAAACTCATGCAGCTGCACAAACGCATTGAAAGGAAATGTTTGAAGCTCTTAATGCTTCATACACATTTTGCAAGCTTTTTGCAAGCTAAGCAATGTCTGGATCAGTGGTTCTCTTGTTTTACTTAAGGAGACAGATTTAAACACTATTTTACACAAAATTGTTTATCTTAAAAAAACTTTAAAAATTAAAGAAAAATTATAAATTAAAGATTTAATCTAATTTTCTATCTAAAGATGAATGAAATCAATCCAAAATTGTTTATCATGCAAAAATCCTTAAAATAATAATAACAAAAATAAATCAAATTTTCTACCAAAAGATGGATGAAACCAGCCAAAATTATTTATCATACAAAAATTCTTAAAATTAAATGATTAAATTAAATTTTCCATGAAAAGATGGATGAAACCAAACAAAATTATCGTACAAAAATCCTTAAAATTAAACAAATATATATTTTATGTAAAATGTATTTAACACACAGTCTTTAAAATTAAAAGATTAAATCTAATTTCCTACCAAAAACTGGATGAAACCAACCAAAATGGTTTAGCATTCAAATATCCTTAAAATTAAAAGATTAAATATTAAAGTAAATGAAATTTTAAAGTAGAAAGACAAAAATAATATTTTTTTTGGTAAAATGTCCTTTTTTTATAGTGTATAAATACAGCATAAAGTATGATTGAACACATCAGTAAATGGAATGCATTTTCCTTCTTTTTAAAAGCTTATTTATTGACTATGACTGATTATAAAGTCACTTGCATTTAATTATTTGAATTTAGCATTGCTTTTTCGTGTCATAACATACAGAAAAACAGTGGTCAGTACACACATGTAACCAGAATCACCAGTATCACCAGTCACATAAACTCATATTTGTTTTCAAATTATCCATATCCAATTATCCATGGTGTTAAAATGTGTAAAAGCGGAGAACAAAACAGCTGACACATCTGTACCTCACAGGCACCAACTCCGGCCACGAAGGGCATGGTGCACATCTCATTCTCACGGACACGGCCCTTGAAATACGGGTTACAGTCTTTATTGCTCAGTACAGGCATCTGAGCCACATTCAGTACAGTCTCATCCCCCTTTCCTGAGAGAGAGAAGCAGAGAGGATCAGTGATGGGAAGCGAAAGAGGACAAAACATCTTTTACATCTAACCAGACACTGCATGACAAATGATGCACAAAATGAATACATCATATCCAGTTATATGATGTAATTAATGTGTTATATTCAACTTGTACAGACAGAACTGCAGAGAAGTGCAACAAGACGAGGCTGATCAAAAATACAGTAATATTGTGAAATATTATTATAATTGAAATAAACAGTTTTCTATTTGAATATATTTAAAAATGTAATTTATTCCTGTGATCAAAGCTGAATTTTCAGCATCATTGCTCCAGTCTTCAGTGTCACATGATCCTTCAGAAATCATTCTAATATGCTGCTTTGCTGCTCTAGAATCATTTCTTCTTCTTATCAATAGTATATATACAGTAGTTGTGCTGCTGGAAACCATGATACATTCTCTTCAAGATTCTTTCATGAACAGAAAGTTCGAAAGAACAGTATTTATTTGAAATTAATGCATCTTTGCTGAATAAAAGCATTCATATTTTTAAAAAAGAAAATTTTTAAACAGTAGTGTATAACAAGAGGTATTATAGCTAAACAGACTAGAATTTCACCTTTTGTTTCTCCCCAACCAGCGATTTCACAGATGGTTCCATTTGGAACGATGTAGCGCTCAGGAGGAAGACATATTTGAGACACGCGCTCATTAAACTGGGCAGGACTGCAGGAGAAGAGCCAGATATGTTTATTAGAGGGTGAATTGGGAGTCAAGACACTTTAAAGAATGCCGTCCAAAAAAGGTTGTACAGTCTTACAAATTAAGGTTGTTTATTGACATTGATGGTTGATGAAGAATTTTTAACATCCATGGAACATTTCCAAGGTTCTTTATAGTGTAAAATGTTCTTTAGATTTTTTAAATCTTCTTCACATTAAGAAAAAAAAAAAAAGGTTCATTTAAAGGGGTAGTTCACCCAAAAATGAAAATTACCCCATGATTTACTCACCTTCAAGCCATCCTAGGAGCATATGACTTTCTTCTTTCAGACGAATACAATCAGAGTTATATTAAAAAATGTCCTGGTTCTTTCAAGCTTTATAATGGCAGTGAATGGGTGTTGACATTCAATAGTCCAATAGAAGTCTAAAAAAGTGCATCCATCAATCACAAAAAAGTGCTCCACACGGCTCGGGGGG